GCGATGGCGACGATAGGGAGGGATATGAGGGCAGCAGTGAGGATGAGGATGATCCCTGTTATTCCCCGACACGCGGACATGGTGACGACGACGACGATGAGGGCGGCGACGGTGGACGGGTTGTGGGTGGTTTGCGGAAGTCCGAGAGATAGCATGGCGACCGATGCAGTGGTGCAGGCAGGGGAGGCAGCGGGCCGGGTGTTGGGGGTGCAGGACGCTCAGGTGGTGCAGGGCATGCTGGCACAGGAAAAGTAAGGCGAGAGTCTGCATCGTCCACTCGCACTGTGCATTGGGTTGATGAGGAGAGGCCCGCTGAGGCAGCTGTGGTTGCTCCCTCCCCTATGGAGGTTGCTCCCTCCCCTGCAGAGTTCGCTGCGGCGTTTGGGGAGGTTGCTCCCTCCCCTACAGAGTTCGCTGCGGCGTCTGCAGAGGGCGCAGCGGCGTCTGCGGAGGGTCCAGGCAGGTTTGCGGGTGGTAGTGGCAATGCTGGAGAGGTTGGGAGGCCATCTGCACAGGTGGTTGTCAGTTTCAGCGACAGCATTTTTTATGTTTCGTTAGGGCATCCTCCGACACCGACAGGGGAGCGTGTCGGTGTCGATGTGGACGCAGCGGCCACGCCCGTCAGTCAGATACTTCGTGACATACCTTCATGCAGCACGGGCGACATCAGTAGTAGCATGTTGCAGGAGGCAGCAGAGGGGGCACCGGGTCGGTCGGGGCAGCACGAGCGTGCAACTGGGGATGATGGGGAGTATCGACCTATGCAGGAGCGGGCGACAGAGTCAGAGCAGGACAGGATCGAACGCAAGGAGAGGAGGAGGGCGCAGGGGTTGGCTAGTCGCTGCGAGATGACGCGGAGTGTTGCATCAAGGGCACGTGTAGCGCGGATGCTCGAGACCGGCGTTGAGGCAGATGATGCGGAGGGCGTTGAGGCAGGTGATGCGGATGCTCGAGACGGGCGTTGAGGCAGGTGATGCTCGAGACGGGCGTTGAGGCACGTGTACGATCTTCTTCGACCACAGGGAGGGGTTGAGGCGGCGTCACAGGGGGAGATTCATGCTCCGGATACTACGCACGCGCCGGCAGGCGGCACAGGTCGTGGGGATGGTGTGACAGGTGTGGTGCCGCAGAGGAGGAGGAAGGACATTGTGGACGACGATGATGCATAGTTCCACCATTAGTCTTCTTTCATCCTCTGATTCGTAGTAGTGTACAGTATATTTAGTGCTTGAGACGAGGCCTTGTGTTAGTAGGAGTAGTCTGTAGTGCTTGACTCGAGGCCTTGTGTTCGTAGGAGTGATCTGTGCAGGTCGTCATGACTGCATTTGTATTTGTATAGGTGGTTAGACTATTGTATACTATTTTCATGCATGGGTGCAGTTTGTTTTTGTTTCTTGTTTTATTTTATCATCGATTTGTAGAGGATTGCACTTTTTTGAGTATTTCTTCAGACACGGGCTCAGCAGGTGCAGTGCTCACAGTTTCATTTTTTGTTTCTCCTGTTATTTTTGTATCGATGTTTCTGACGATTCGACAGTTCTTTCGCGCACCATTTGACTGAGTCCAGCGTGCATGTGTCTTTTATTGCTGTGTGTATACGGCGCAGCTGTTTCGCCGTGTTCTTTCGTTTGCCTGTAATGTTACACTTTCAAAACTTGTGCAATGATTGTATCTTGCAGACTTGCAGATGATGGAGAATGACTCAATGGTTTTGAAAAATTGTGTTTATACTTTCAGTCTTGTACTCGTTTCGTCGTGTGTGTAGTTCACCTCTGTTGCATTTGTCAGCCACCCCGACAAAACCCTCCCCAACCCCCAAACAGTGGCAAACACGACCTTGGCATGACCTTCCCGAACCCCC